GGGGGATCGAACCAGTGACCTTCTGGTTCCAGGACGACTCCCCAAACCACTCCGCCACAGCCACCCCATGAAATAATAGTATTTCATGTACACTGCTCAGATGTGTAGCATTTGCTGAGGGTAGAAACAGAAGGGTGATACTGTTTCTGCACTCTGCCATACTTTGCCAAGTTGGGGGCACCAGTCAGATTTAACTGATAATATTTATTCACCCTTTTTAATGAGACTCATATACACTGAGATGTGAGTATGTATGATAAACAGTGAACTCTCCCATATAAAATGAGTTTTCAAGAAGTAGGAAATCAATTTTGTATTTTAAAATTTAATTATAAAAACAGAAAAATCTAATTTCAGGAATAATGGATAAAAATAGTAACATATAAAAAAGACAAAAACAATGAATGCTTAAAATAGTCAAAGGAGACGGTATGAGAAAAACTTACCATAGATTATCTGATGTTGTAAATCTAAGATGAATAAAGATTAAAGGGGCAATATTATGTGTTTCACAGGCATATATTTAAATTCTATACCATAATAAAGTAACTTTGTCACCTTCAGTTGTTATTAAAATGTTGTTTTTAAGTTTAAATCAAAAATAAACTTGGCTTCTCATCATATCCATTTCTAAACGCTTTGAAATTGGCCTCTGACTCTTTAAGAACCTCCTTCTGATCCTGTCATGCTCATTTCAGCACATCATCACAGCCGCTTCTCTCGTTTACAAGCTGGAGCGTCGTAGCAGACTTTGTTATATTATAATAAAAAAGCAGCAACATTRTACAATATTGAGGGGCTTCATAAAACATAAGGTTTGCTTTCAGGTCATTTAAAACTTGATTTTAGATTTTACCATTAAACAATTCATATGGATCAAATGCTTACGATTATTTAAAGGGGCAGTATCATGTAAAATCTACTTTTTTGTGCTTTATATCATGTTATAATGTTATCCTCTCATCAGAAACATGCCCAGAGTCTTGCTTTGACTCATTCATGCATGTTTGAGAAATCCTGTAGTGTCCTGAGGCAGCAGACAGGGCAGCAAAAACAACCGGTTGGGCCTAGAACCACCTTTTGGAATCAGCTCCTCCTCTGAGCTGTGTCTCCGAACCGAGCTTCCTCACCACAGAGCACACCTCCTCCACCCCCCAGCCCACCCTGTGACTCCTGCAGGCTATCGGCAGCAACAACTAGCAAACATGCAATAAAAACTGTGTCTGCTGAGCTCCCAAWACTACTTCTCAGTGCAGCTGATGAAACTACACCGAGCACAGCATCACACACACCCCAACAGCTTTCCAAAATAAAACACAGACATTCAGTCTCCCTGTCAAGAGAGTTTTGTCTGAAAGAAAGAGAAAACATGTTAGACATTTGTTATAACACTTCATGAATAAAAAGACATCTGCATTAACTGTTCAGCTCATTTTGACCTCAGTCATTAAAACCAAC